ACAGTTGCGTTGGGGCCCCAGGGCTGTGAGCCAGAAAGGAGGGGCCACACTGGAGAAGGAGTGGTGTTTGGAGGGGAGGGGATGTTGAGTATCTTTTTAGCCCTGAACTGGAGGAGACAGATTTTAGAGTCCAGTTGAAAGAAAAAGACAAGAGCAGATCTGGCAGAAAAGGCTGTGTTTTCTGATTAGCAGGAAGGGGAGTAGGATAAAGAGCGAAGAGTCCAAGTCTCTCTCAGTCTGTGGGGATCCCTCAGTGGCTCCTGCCCAGCATCGCCTCTGACTCCTGCAGGAGTGTGTCCTGGGTCAGCTGGAGGGTGTGGGCTGGGCCTGGGCTCAGCGCCCAGATGACTGGATGAGGCCACCCGGGCCACAAGCCCAGGCCTGAGGGAGGAGAAAGAACCTCACGTGTCCAGTCAGGCTCCCCCGCTCCATTGCTGTGTTTGGGGTGAAAACAGAGTAACTCTGGCAACCTGGAACTAGGGCTCTTTCCCCTCGAGAATAGCCCTGGCTCCTCAGCCAGCACTTCCTGTCCTGGGGTCCCTCGGACCTTATCAGACTTATCCAGGCTGTGAGTGCAAGAACAGGGATCACCTGAGTTGGCAATTCTCAGTGGACATTCTTGCTGTGTAACTCTTAAGCTTTATTTTCCTCATCTGCTAAATAGGAAGACTCTACCTGCTTTTCATTTTTGATGTGAAGGAGAAAGATGCTGTTCACAGTGTCTGGTTCATAGTAGACACACCTTTTTCCTCATCCCTGCTCCTTGTTTCATTTACATTGTCCTTTCCTCCTCTGGTCTGCTTTTTTACCTGTCTGGGTCCATCACTGTGTCATTGTCCCATTGCTCTTTGTCTTTCCTGACCCTGGCTCAGAAAAGTGCTTGAAATGTGGCCATGTCACACTGGGGGCCCTGGGGTGGGGCGTGTGGCTCCTGTGGCTGAGTGGCAAGAGACAGCTGTACTTTGGTGTGAACTGGGAGACCCTTGGCTGAGAGAGTGAGTGGTAGGAAGGTAAGAGATGTAGAGGGTGGCTTTGCCTTGGGGGTTGAGGCAGAGCAGTCTCTGGGCTGCTACCCTCTGGGCCCTTGAGGATCTCCAGCCTCAGCCCCTATCCAAAGCCACCTCAGCCTGCCAGCCACTGTCACTCCTGTACCTCCTGTTGGCCCTTCCTGTTACAAGCCCTCTGTCTTCCTGGCCTGCTGCTTTCTTTCCTCAGGATCTTGCCTTTTGTTCTTATAACCCCTGACCCATTGTTTCTCCTTCTCTTTTCTCTAGATTTCTTTCCTGCTTTTTTTTTTTTTTTTTTTTTTTTTGCCCTCTACCTCCACCAGGAACCACCTCCTTTTGACCCATCATTCTTTGTTCATCTTTTTGTTTCTTGCTTCTTTACGTTTTTTCCTTCCTCCCCCTCTGCTTCCCTCTCCTCCCTTTCTTTTCTCTTGGTCTTCTTACCTCCTGCTGAGCCTGTGCTGCCTTCTCCCTTTTCATGCCACCCTGCCCCCTTCTCCCTTTCCACTGCTTTGTCCACATTCCTTGTCCCTCTCCATGACTTCCTCTCTTCTCCCCACTTCAGCCTTCCCCTGCCTTCACTTCCCACTCCAGTCCTCTGTGCTCTCCCCAGCTGTGGGGGCCAGGACTTGAGAGCCTAATGTTTGCCTCATCGTTGTGCTATGGCTTCTGGATACGGCACATCTGGATTCTGGGGCCCAGATGTGTGGTTGCCACAGCGACCTCAGTCTCTCTGGTAAATATGGGCGCCCACCCGCCCCAGAGCAAAGAACAAAACAATTGTGTGACTTTCTTTTGTCATGAGATAGAAATGTCCTTCCTCCTCCCTTCTCCCCACACCCATGTCTGCAGGCAAAGGAAGTTCCGAGGGTCCAAATCTTTCTCCCTGTGGCTGTCTTGGCTCCATTCAGCCTGAGCCTCTTACTCCTCTCCCGTCTTCATCTCAAAGGCAGTCTTACCTCCACATGTTCCCTTTCCATCTCCCAACCCCAAATCTCAGTGAAATGCTGGTTCCCCTGTGTGATACTAGGCAATTTCTTCTAACTGAATCTATTTAATAACGACACAGCAAGAAGTTTTAGAAATCCAGATCATCCACTCTTCCTTCTCAGACAAGTCCTTCCAGGGGCCCCTTCATTTGGGTCTGCCTTAAGTCTTCAGTTTTTCCAGGGCTTCTCTTTGGGGAAGGGAGAGAATACAGGCTTTGGAATAAGAAAACCTGGGCGGAGGCCCAACTTTACTTGTCATCTCTGAATCTCCATTTAATAAAGTGCCCACGCTGTGTAGGAAAGTGGTTTTTAGGAAGCTTATGTACAAATGTTCTCCATCTTTCCCCTCTTGGGGACTGCTTCCTTGGGTCACAGCCCCTGGTCTGTCTTCCCTTCTCCTTCTTCTTTGGTCCTTGTCCTTAATTTGCCCTTACTCTTCTTTGTCTTCCTTCCCTTCTTTTCCCTTTCCTTTCTGTGTCTTTTATCCCTTGTTCTCTTGAGGTCAGGACAGGAACTTGGAAGTTCATTCAAGGATGGAGGCCTGGAGCTGAAAACACTGGACTGAGGATTCAGAGAACAGCCAGAGCATGAGGACAGTCGTGGCAGGGCCCCTGCCTGCCTGTCACCTGGAGCCCCTCAGAGAAGGCGACCGTGTTCTGACCACTGCGCATTCCTGCCTTCACACCTGGGGCTCTCTAGCAGACACTCTTTCCCTACCGTTCTCTTCCAGCCCTTTCACAATTCAGTTTTTTTTTTTAATAGAAAGTTTATGAAGAAAGTTGCAGGGGTAGAAGTGAGCCAGCTGGGCTTTGCAGGCTCAGGAAACAAGTTACAGAGGCAGAAGAACGGCACTTGGTGCTTAGGAGAGAGAAGGGCAAAGGTATTATGCCAGGAGGGAAGGAGATGGGGAAGGGAAAAGCACAGGGGTGCCCCCAAGAGGGAGAGCATGCCTCACAATTCAGTACTGAGGAGCACTTAGCAGGCACCTGCCCTATGCAAGACCTGGTGCTTTCCTGATGAGATGCAAACATGTGAGACATGAACTCCTGGGGAGACACAAAAGCCTGAAATTCAGGGGCTTTGAGATTTTTATTGCTCTGGGTTTCCAATCCAGGGCAATCAAATCTTAGGCAGTGATTATCTCAGAACTGAAATAATGTCTGTCAGGCTTCCAGTGGCTTCCTCCAATGCATTGTAAGCTCGTCCATGTCCGGAATCTCAGCAGGGGACTTCCAGGACACCCCAGGGCCATCCTTCCAGCTCCTGCTCCTCTCCAGGGTCTCCTGGCCTCTCTCTGGGCAACTATACTTATGGTGGCCATACTTCCTAAATAATAAAACCAAAATATAAGGCACAGAGCTGAGAAAATGGGTATGACCATGAGACAGAATTGCTGAAATCTGGGGTATCAGAGAAAACCATCTCTGCAGCCTTCTCTCCCTGTGTTGTACTGTTTCTGACCCTCACCCTGGACCTACTTTCCCCCCACCCGCGCCCAGAGATCTCTGGGAAGCTGTGGGGGCCTCGGGCCAAGGCAGCGGAAGGAAGCTGCGTCCAGCTCCATCCAAGATTCTGACTTCATTTTCCTCATCAAAGCCAGGAAAAACACACACACACACACACACACCCAGACACTGAGACACCCAATGAGAGTCCATACAAGCCTGTCCCCAGCCACAGGGGCCTCACCACCCATCTTGTCTAGCCTCGTGTATCCTGACCTAGGGACACTGCACACCTGTGACCAGGCTGTGGACAGCTGTGCCCCAAACCGAGAGGCAGAATCTGGCACATACAGGGTCCTGCACGTCCCTTTCATTTGTGACTTGGCAGGTCTCAGCAGTGAGGTGTTTGGTAGGGTAGCTAGAACTCTCCTCACTGAAACCTGGTGTGGAGTCTCCCTCAGCCTGTCTCCTCTTGTGATAAGTCTCCTTTTACAGCCCCTCATCAGGGCAGCAAGGACCTGGGGAAAGGAGGCCAGAGAAACGGCAAGCAGCCATATGTGGCGTGTGTCTGATGCCCACCCTCGTGTTGGTCTTTCAGTCTCTACTTGAGATCAGAGTGCCTTTTTCCTCCAGCCCCCAACTCGCCCTACCCTGCTCCTCCTTCCCTGTAGCCACCAGATGTTAGCCCCTTCTGCTCTCCACAGATTTTCCCCCATACCCGCCTCCTGCCTCTGGCTGTCCTTAACTAAGCCTTCCTCCTAATTTTCAGGCCTCTTCCTTGTCTCCACTGAACCCCAACTGTCTTCCCAAATCTACGTCCTGGTGTTCAGCCACTGCCCAGGCTCACCTGCCATTAGTCTAGAAATTTGCTGAAGTAGGAGAGTAAAAAGGGGGCGGTGATCTCATCGGAGTAGAGGAGGTGGGCTGAGCAGGCAGGAAAGGCAGCATAGGGCAGGGGAGCGCAGAAGAAAGACCACCTATCAGCAGGCAGGGTGCAGGTGGGAACAAGGAGACCCTGAAAAGGCCCTGTGCTGGGGAGGGAAGTTTCCTTCTGCCTCATGCCCTCAGGAGAGAATTGGTCGGGGACAAGAGCAGTGCTAGCGCCACACGGGGAGCAGTGTGGCAGCTGGGAAGAGGTGGGAGGAGAGGTGCCGCAAAGGAAAGCAGAGGGGCTGTCTGTGGGGAAGGTTGTTGGTAGCAAGGAGAAAGCAGGTTTGAGAGCAGGAGCAACAGGTGGAGAAATGGGTGCAGGGGAATAGCACAAGGGTGGGGAGGATGTCAAATTGGGCAAAAATTAGGCTGGGGAAGAAGAGTAAGAATGGGATGGGGAAAGGACACAGGAGGTAGTAACAGGGACGCAGGGGGGCAAGGTGAGGGTATTGTGGGACTCTGATCCCAGACAGAGGGGACCAGCGGTGAGTCGGGAGGAGAGGAGGGGCATGTGATGACATTGGAGGGCCTGGGATGGGTGGGAGGACCTGCCCTATCTCCGCTCCCCTCCCTGACCTCATGCTGTTCCTCCCCTTCTCCTCCCCCTGCTCGCTACAGCCTCCCTCCTTCTCACTGTCGCTGGCTGCCTAGATAGACGGGCTGTGGCTCAGTGAGCCCTGCTGCAGGGAACAAGCAAGGGATACCCAGGAGCTCAGGGCTGCCAAGGGAATCCCACCCTGCCCTTCCCTGAGGGCCCAGCTCCTGAGGCTGGGGAGAGAACAGGTGCAGAGCCACTGCAGTTGCTCATTGCTCAGGTAAGGAACAGAGAGCTCTGGGGAGACCAAGGGAAGAGTTGGGAGATGTGGGGGCTCTAGCCTATCCCTATATCCCAGGCAAGGGTTGGCACAATCACTCTCAAGGGACCCTCCCACCGAAGGGACTTCGTGTCGGTGCAGTGAAAATAGGACTCTGTACTGGGGACTGGACTCCCTGTAGAGGGAGCAGCGGGGAGGAAGGTTAGTTCATGGGTAGAGGGGTGGACTGGATCAGGTGGCAGCACCAGGGTGAAGGTGGTTATCCGTGAAGTGGGGCTCTGGACCGCAGAGGTGCTGTGGGAAAGCAGGGGCTGGCTGAGCTGGAGGAACCCCAAGTGCTCTGGCTGGAGCAGCTGAGCCCAAGCCCAGGAAGGTGCCAGAGAAAGCTGCTTAGGGCATCCAGATGGGGACTGCCAGGTGATAGCACGTGGGTGGCAGCGCCTGGGAGGGAGGGCTGGGGGTCTTGAGCCTTTAGGAAATGCTGGAATGGAGCAGAGTCAGGACTCTCAGGTCTGGGATGGGCATAGAGCCTGCAGAGAGGATCCTAAAACTTATTCTTGGCCGAGAGCTCTGCGCCCATGACTCACGGTTCAGCAGGGCTGGGATGACTGAGAGATGCCTCTAGGGGCACAAAGGCTCCATCCTCAATCCCCTTCCAAGCTCCCCCCTGCTTCAGTCTGTTTGAACCTCCCTCCCCCCATACACGTGACACACCCGGGGTGGGGTGGGTGGGCCCCTTATCTTGCCTGGAAAGAATGTCATGGCTTGGAAACAACTGGAAATGAACTGAAAGGAACTACTGGGAAGCAACTCGGAAACACAGCAGCTGCTGTCTGCCCCTTTCCAGTCTCTGCCCACTTCCCAGATCCCCAGCCTCTTCCCCTCTTCCCCAGGCCAGTCTCCAAATTCCTGGGGACCTAGCGCCTCAATTCCTCAAACTTCCTTGCTCTTGAGCCCTGGTCACTCCATGCAGAACCAAAACCTGCCTTCCTGTCTCTCACTGCCCCCGCGCCGGGGGTTGGGGGTGGTTTGGAAATCCTGTCTCTTAATGTTTCCGTTTGCTGGCCAATTAGCTCCCCGGAATATGGGACATCGGGTCCCCAACGTGGCCCTGCCTGGCACCTACTTGCCACCTGGCTCCAACTCAGTATTTGGACGCCCCTCATCTTCCTTTCTCTCACATTCCTGGAATCCTCCTACCTCCACCCGTCATGTGGCATGAGAGGCAAAGGGAGGCGTGGGGACATCTCTCATGGAACATCCCTCATGGAAGCCAGCTCCTCTCTCCACCTCTTAGGACCTAGAGTCCCCGATGAGTGAAGTGTCAGAGTTGGCCACAACGTGAATACCCTGCCCGCTGAGTCACGCCTTGGGAAGATGCCCTGACCCCTGCCAGCCCTCCAGCCATGGGGAGGGTACCAAGAGGGAGAGGGCACGCTCCCCTCTCCGGTTCCCCTCTCCGCTGCAGAAAGGCTCCCCGGCATTGCAGTTGGGGCATGAAGCCAGAAAGACAACAAGACACCCAAGTTCCTTGCTGTCCTAGTGCTGAGAGAAGAGGGGAAGTCTTCCAGGAGCTGGAAGTGGGGCCTGGAGGGTGGTGGTGACAGGGCAGGAGAGGTTGGGAAGGAGGCTCTGGGGGTGTAGCCGGTGGGGGCCCCTCCTGCACTCAGACCAGCCTCCCTACTTTCCTGCTTCCTGCTGCAGACTCCCCCCTCCCCGCCACACGGGGAAAGACATGGGATCTGGTGGGCTGGGGACAGCGGGGGAGGGGGGGATACTGGACAGCTCCCAAAGGCCTCCAGAGGAGTGGGGCCCTGGTAGCCTCCTTGTTCCCCCTCAGGAAGGGCCTCCCATTTGATTCTCACTCCAGCTAAGTTCTTTGACTCACATAGCTGCCTTCAGAGCCAAGAAGAAATCAGCGCTCTGAGTGTGGAGGACCGTGAAGGAGAGGGGGGTTTGTGTGTGTGTGTGTGTGTGTGTGTACACACGCACACACCCATCTATAAAGATGCAGGCTATATTTGTATTTGTGGATGAGTACACACAAGTATATGTGTACATGTATTTGTATGTGTGCATGCCCCCTGTGACTTACATGGCCTTAGACACAGGGTGACAGGATTTGAGGGTAAGTACCCACCTCATACCCAAGGCTGCACCCCAAGCTGAGAGACAGGATGGGGGGAGCAAGGAACGGCAGCTCTGTGTATCAGACCTCTTCACCTGCCCTTTCTTGGGCAGGGTGCACTCAGTGCACACATGTTCCATCTCTGTTGTCGAGCTCCCTTTTGTCTTTTGTGGTCTGGCAGTCCTGTGTGATGGCGAGTAGTCCTGAAAACTCCTTCTCCTCAGACATAGAGGAAAAGCTTAGGAGTAGGAAGTCAGTAAATGTGTGTATGTGGGAGGAAGGTGCAAGCACTGTCCCCTCCTCCCCTCCAGTCAGCATTTCCACCCCTCCCCCTGCCCTTTTTCTCATCAGCCTCTCAGGTCTGGAAGAGCCACAGTTCACACCTCTCTTTAGCCCTTTTCCTGAACGGAACTTGGGCCACCCCCTGCACACTCCTGGCTCACCCTGAGCATCCACTACCTCTCCTCTAAACCTTCTCTTCCTGTGCTCCTCAGCGCTCATCTCAGTGAATTCCACAAACACAACTGTGTAATCAGCACCTCAATCAAGAAATAGGACATTCTTAAAAAACAAAAAAAAAGATTTTTTTTATTTTTAGAGAGAGAAAGGGTGGGAGAAAGAGGGAGAGAAACATCAATCGGTTGCCTCTCGTACCTGCCCTGACTGGACCAGATGAACCTGCAACCCAAGCACGTGCCCTGGCTGGGGGTGGACTTGATCTTCCACTTGGCAGGACAACGCCCAGTCAACTGAGCCGCTTGGGTCAAGGCAAAATAGGACATTCTTAGCACCTCAGAATTTCCCCACCATGCCCCCAAAAGTACCACACTTCTGACTTGTAGCACTGCAGCTTAGTGTTGTTGCTCCTCAAACCTCACATAAATAGAAATTTTCAGCAGGTTCTCGTTTGTGTCTGGCTGTGTTTGCTCAACCCTGTATTAGTAAGAGCCATCCATGTGATTGCATACAGCCGTAGTTGTCTCATTGCTTTATTTCATTCCACTGTGTGAATAATCCACTTTATTTAATCCAGTCCACTGATGTGAGACATTTGGACAGTTCCCAGTTTGAGGCTACTATGAACATTAATGTTATGGTCAGTATATTCCTAGAAGTGGAATTGCTGGGTCATAGGGTTTGCATATAGCTTCAGTAGAGTCTGCCAAACAATTCTCCAAAGCGTTTGTACCCGCTGGGTCTTCCAGGATCCACACGTGGCCTGCACTCTGCCCAAGCTGCTGTTTCTAACCATCTTCCAGTCCCAGATACTCTGTGATCCTAGCTCTGACTTTGGTCCTATCCTTGGTGTGAGCTCTGACTCTAGTCTTGGGCTTAAATTGAACTTTTCATTTTATCGTATAGTCAATAAGTATTTATTGAGCACAGATGCAACCAAGAAATAAATAAACACAGGTGCCGTGCCACCACCGTGGACTGTACAGGTTAGCGGGCAAGACAGAGTATGGGCAAGAAAGTAATAAAATAATATCACAAGTAAATCTGTGATTTCAAAATTTTGTAAATGCTACAAGTGAGAGTTGCATGGTGCTGCAATAGCACATGATAGGGGGACCTGACCTGGGCAGGAAAGCTTCCTGAGGAAGTGATGTGGGGCTGAGCCCTGAAGGATGATGAGGCCAATAGAAAAGGGAAGAGCGGGCCACATGGAAGGAACCACACATACAAAGGTCTGGGGCTGGGAAGACAATGTGGGACTTACAGAAGGCCAGTGGAACTGGAATGGAGAGAGGGAGGGGAGTGTTGTGGAAGTTGAGGTGGGAAGAGTCAGCAGGCCAGATGATGCAGGGCTGGCTGGCAGTGTTTGAAGAGAATCCATCAGAGAGACATTGCAGAGTCTTTAGGGGGAGAGGGGCATCCTAGTTGCTTTTTCAGGATTGTAAGGGGCAAGAGTGGGAGCAGAGGGACTAACCAGGAGGCAAGTTCAGTTGTGAAGCAAAAGGTGGATTGGAGGCTGGTCTCTAACATTGATAAGAGGGAGAGAAATAATCAAACTAAAGAGATGTTTACAAGAAAATATGGGGAAATATGATGAAATATGATGGTGTTGAATGGGCTGTTAGATTTCTGGCTTGTAAAGCTGGATGAATGATGAGGCCATAACTCAGCAGAGAACACTGAGAGTGGATGGGGTTCGGAAGGACGATCATGAGTTCCATTTCAGACATCCTGAATTTGGAGTGCTCCAGAAGAGGTGCCAAGTAGGCAGTTGGATATATTGCTTAGAGTTAAGAGGAGATGACTAGGCTGATTTATAAATTGGAGTCTACTTGGGAAATGAAAGCCATGGTTCTGGAAGAAGGTCTCTAGGTGGGAGACGAGAGCGGTAGGTCAACTCTGGCTGCACGCCACAGTCACCTGGGGAGCTTGTTAAAAGTACTGAATTAAATTCAGTCATTCTTGCCACCTGTCAAGGGTTCAAGCCACATATTTCTCCTGGCTACCATGTTGATAGCACAAATAGAGAATGTTTTTTTTTAAATTATATTTTATTGATTATGCCATTACAGTTGCCTCAATTTTTCCCCTTTGCCCCCTCTCCACCCAGCACCCCCTACTCCCTCAGGCAATTCCCACACCATTGTTTATGTCCATGAGTCATGCATATAAGTTCTTTGGCTACTCCATTTCTTATACTGTATTTTACATCCCTGTGGCTATTGTGTAACTACCTATTTGTAGTTATTTTCTTAAAAATTTTATCTATTTATTTTTAGAAGCGGGGGAGGGAGGGAGAAAGAGAGAGAGAGAGAAACATCAATGTGCAGTTGTCTCTTGCATGTGCCCCTACTGGGGACCTGGTCCACAACCCAAGCATGTGCCCTGACTGCAATTGAACCGGTGACCCTTTGGT